ACTTAAGATTAATAAATTAGATCCATATATATCAACATGGATAAATCTTGAAAACAATATTAACAGGCAAAAAAGTGGCAAAACATAATACAATTTATCAATCATGTTTGTTTATAGGTAGCTCTTATTTATAAAGATGTATGTAGTGAAAATATAAAAACATGCACAAATAATTAATAGAACACAACTTGTATTTATGGTAAAGATAAGGAAAGGGATAGATTAAGACTTCATAGCAATATCTGTAATAATTTTAAAGATTTAATAATTTAAATCTTTTAAAAGAGATTGGAAGCAAATATGGCAAAATGTAAACTGTTTAATCTTGGTGGCGGGCACATAACCATCTGTCAAATTACTTTCTATATATTTGAATGTTTCATATACTAAAATATTTATTAAAAATTAACTAGTGAGTGATCAAGTATAGCTAATATTTACCATCTATTTTCTACTCGTTGGATCCCCCAAAGATCTAAACCATCTTCAGTAAGAGTTCCAGTCTTAAAAAAACAAAAAGCACACATTACAAAGTATTTATATTGAGTCCAAAATCAAAAATTATGAATAGCTATGAGACATATAAAATGGAATATTATATAGCTGTTAAAAAGGAAGCCAGTAAGACCTCTGTTTTTGATAGAGAATAACTTCCATGGTGAATAAAGTAGGGAAAAGGGTACAGAACACTTCTTACAATATGGTTCTTCCATGCAGGCGTGGGAGAGGGGCATATATGTAGAACAGATTATCTATTTATGTGCTTACATAAAGAGAAAAACAGTACAACATGCACCAAAATCAACCTATCAACCAATAAAGGATGCCTGCATAGAAAGTAGAAATCAGGGTATAAGGAGTCAAAGAGGGAAGAGGAACAAATTAAATGACACCAGGAGGAAGCAATCAACCAAATCCAGGATGTAAATGACCTGGTTTCTTCAGTATGATGATTGGGGATGAGGGGCAAGAAAAGTGACTGTTACAAATCAATTTTAACCAAGGTAATCCTTACTTGTATTCTGACTAAAAATATAAACTGTAAAATTTTGAGACACTTTTAAAAGACAGGAAAATCTAAATATGAACTGTTTATTAGATAATACTAAGGAATTGATAACTTCATTAAGTGTAGTAAGCAGTAATGGCATTGTGGAAATGATTTTTTTAAATACCTTTTATACTGAGGTATGTGGGTAAAATAACCTCTGAAGCTGCCAACTTCAAAACAAGGGGATAAAGGTTGACAAAATGTTGATAAATATTAAAGCTGAGGGTTTATTATACTTGCATGTTTTGTATAGTTTTGTCTATTTAAAAATTTTAATAGTAACATTTCAAAAAATACAAGCATAAGTGAAATTTCCTAAACAGATAAGTATGAAATGTACTCATGGGATATGAACCTTTTTTAAAAGCAAGATATATCTCATTTTCTTCCTTTAATAATGAACAAGCATAAAAATCAAACTCCTTATCATATCAATTACCCAGAAAAACTTGACGGAAGATTTTTTTGTCAAGGTTTAATTCTCAAAGTAAAACTTTTAGGATAACTAATTTCAGCTGAGAAAAGGATAACCCTTTATAAGAGGCAAGTACAAAATCTGTCATTTCCACATAAAATAGGTGACCTTCGTAATTATGAAACATACTCAGTAAAATCACAGAGCAAACACTAAACATATATGCTTAACATACTATAATTCCAGTAGATATGTCTGTATGGAACCTATTCTGTTGAAAACATTAAAGATCCAATCATCTTTACTACTACTACTGTAAGATATAAATCTGGATATGCATATTAGACAATTGCAGAGTGTAAGATAATAAGCAACATCCAAAGTATTAAAAATTGAAAAAAAGTGACAAGAAATACACAAAAGTGATACATGTGCCAAATAAGCTGAAAAGGGAAAACTACAGGAACATTAAATATATACAAATTGGTTGACAAAGAATACACAAAATATTAATCTACAAAGCTACAAAGTAATCTTTAGGAGTGATTATGAAACTGAACCAACCTTGTCAAAGCAAACAAGATTCAGCTGCCCACAGATATTTATCCTTTGGGGACTGATACAGAAAATACCAATTTTTTTCAGTCTTCTTTGGGCATACACAATACCAGCGGTCATTGCAGCAGGAAGTGCTGGTGGCACAGTAATTGTAATGATATCAAGAGATTCAATAATTATTTCACCAGCTTCTACCTACAATTAACACAAAAATAAATGTTAGACTCCACAGTTAAATATTACTAACCTAACATGGATATTTCTTTGGTGAAAAATCTATAAACCATTTTCAGTTTTATACACATAAGTGTGTAAAAAGACACATTTACTTATATTAACCATTTATAATTTTTTCCCTTTAGAGATTCTGCAAACAGAAAGCTCAATGAATTGTCAATGTTCTGTGAAATAACAGCTATTTTCAAGGCAAACTCATTTTAATAGCTCTATACACTTCACACATGACACACTTCAAAGTTCAACAAACATTTCTCAGATATTGACTCTTACTACAAATATCACACAGTGCCAGCTTCTAAAGGAGATGGAAAAATTTGACAAGGTCCCTTAGAAGTATCTTCAATTAAGTAACTGCATGTAGTTTTAGTTTTAACATCATATACCCCAGAGGCTAAAAAAAAGGAGCAAATAACACTTTCACTGAGTGTATGGTTGACCCTTCCTTTTTAAAGTCACAAGAGAGCAATAAAAGACCATCTAAGCCAGAGCCATTCAAAACAACTTTCTGCTATGATGGAAATGTTCTCTATCTGTATGTTCTAATATAATACAGAGTCTCATATGGCTTTTAAAAGTTAAATTACTTCAAATTAATATTTTAGTTCTTCAGTCTCACTAGCCATATTTCAGACCTTCATATGCCATAATGTGATAATTAAGAATCAAACCCTATTGAGTCCCCTGTACATACCTTATTTAAAATGCTATTGACAATAGTATAGATAAACCCAACACCAGCCACTGCCACAAGACATAGTAGAAACAAGTAGGCATCTCTGTAGAGTTTGAAATCAGTTGGTTTGGGATACAATATTGAACGGACAAGCTGTCCTTTGGAAGTACTAAATCCTAAAAAAAAAAAAAATTAAAAGAAAATGGCTATATTTTTAAAAGAAAATGAGAATTATCTCCCCAAATAGAATCTCTTTTTAAATATTCAGTAGGTATCAAATATGCTAAACCATTCAAGAAAAGATTAAATGTTTTCTACCTGTTCTAACTACTATGGCTTTGACAAGTTCTCCAGTGTAGAAACGAGTTTGAATAACAGTAGTCCCACAAAACAAAGTATGTCGCTTATGTATTTCTGGATTATATAATTCATCTTCCATTCCTTTTATGTTCACTGAAGGATTTGGCAAATTAGTCTTTGTCACTGGAACACTTTCTCCTTTAAAAAAAAACAAAATTCATGAATTAAAGCAGAAAAGTCAGTATCAAACACACAAACCTTGAACTGTTAAATATCCTAAATGTTGTTATAGTATTTCAATAGTTACTAAGAGTTCTTATATGTGAATAACATAGCTTATTCAATCAGCTTTTTGTCTACGAACTTCTTTGCCCCAAAATATCAACTATTATCTCCCACAATTCCTGAAAGTGATATTACTCAAAGGCAATAATTTGGAAATGACTGTCAAGTTTCAAGTAAGACTAAGTAGTTGCCATAGTCCTAGTACGCATGCGCGCGTAGTCAGGAAGAGAAAAGGTATGTGGGGAAAGAGAAAGAAAGAAAAATAAGCAGTACAGTAGTTCTCTCACTCAAACAATAATGAACAGCCAAATGCTTTTCAACGTTCAAATCTAATTCTCTGTAGCATTCACACTTCTGGCAAATGTGTGGGAATATTTTTCTGTATGAATGTGTTTTAAGACCGGATTCTCTAACAGTTTGAAAACATACAGCAATCACTTACTTGCCAGACTGATTATGAAAATTAAAAATTCATGTGATAAAATGATATAAAGCTCTACCTTCAGAATATGAATTTCCAAAGGGAAATAAATAATTTTGAAGTCTACTTCTCTCCAATTTAAGAAAAATATAAAATCTTCATTCCCACTTGTTACATATCCACAGGGAAGCAAACATTCTTGCCTCTTGCCTTACTATAAAACATTTTCTCGAGTCAAGAGTAGCCTAAAGGATGTCAAGGCATGTAGTGAACTCCAGCAGACTGACTGACTATAATGCAGAAATTGGTCCCCACAAGATTAAAAAAAAAAAAACAAAAAACTTCAAGATCCATCACATGACATTCAAGAAGTAAAGGATACAAACAGCAGTAGCTAATTTTAAAATGACTTAATCAGTAATTACTGAATGCTATTATCATTATCAACAACTCATCTGATTGTTATTCATTTAGTTGAGGTTACCTGTTAACATGCTTTCATTTACAATGCAAGTCCCATTAATAAGTACTGCATCACAAGGCATAACAATCCCATTTAATGGAATGACCATAACATCTCCTGGCACAAGATCTGTAGAAAAAATCTCTTCTATTTCTGGATTAAAAGAAAGAAAAGTTTGAGAAGAATTTTCTTTCATTTTGAATAAAAACAGAGCAAATAGAAGTTCTACCTAAACATCACCTGATCTCAATAAGAAGGTAAAAGTGTAACAGAGCTAAACAGGAAAATCCCAATGAACAGACTTCCAACAAGTAATATTTGTCCTTGCACTAACAGAGCATGGTCTTAATTGTGTCAGCTAGTCTGTCTCCTGATAAGATGGCAACCGTGCACAAGTGATGCCAAGTCCCCTGTGTCCAAACAGGTGGGTGGGCTTCAATATTCATTACTGCAGTTGAACAATTTTAGCCATCAGCCTAGACAATAAATCCATACATGAGATATCCTTGCAACAGGTATACTCAATTTCCATAATCCCTTGGAAACAAGAGTATTGAAAATTTTAGCACACTTTTTTTACAGCATTTTTTTCTCACTGCCAATACTTAGAACATGTAGTCTCAATGCCTCCTCAGTCTTAATATTTTAGACATTATTTTAATTTATAAAATAAACATTACAACATTTTATCTAGCTCATTATTTCTTTAGAAATCTACATATTATATTCAAGCTAGCTAAACATTTTTTTAAAAGATCTTCCCAAGTAAAAGAAGGTTTTTCTACAGGATTGCCTTATATATGGGCAGCCTCTTTCTCCCCTTCTTCTTCACCCCCTTCCTCCTCTCCCAGGTTTAATACTATGCTCAGAAGTAGAGGTATACACGGGCTTGTAAACAAAACAAGTGAGGAAAAAACTATTGTTTGTGGAGTTCGTCTATAGAACAAATACTCTTTCCTTCCTAAAAAGAAACAAAGTAGTAGTTTACAAAGCTATGAGGAAACAATTTTTAAAGAATTCTAATGATCAACACAAAGCACATACAGAAATCTTTATTTTTTAATAAGACTTTTCAAAAAATTTGACTCTTGTAAAGCTTTAATACCACTTGAAATTCAACTTCCCTTAGGTCTACCAGGAAACAAAACATCAATGATCTGTTAGACTATACAAAGGGGCTAAGGAAGACACAAACTGAATGGAACCTATGTCCCAGCAGTCTCCATACCTTCAGCAGCAGCAGAGCGGAAAGGGGTGAGGCATTAATAAGGTACACATCTAAGACTATTGGCTGACAGGTACTCCCAGCTAAAGTAGGAGATGACCACGAAGCACAGGGAAGGAAGCAACCAGCTAGGTCAAACTGTGTTATACTGAGCCACAACAATGGAGACTGGATATTCTCAGTAAATCCAAGTGGCTCCTGCCCCCAAGACCCATGATGCTATGCTTCCTCCCCTTTATCTCCTTCAACATCTCACCAAACATATCCAAAACGATCCTTCCCTAGAATCCTGCTTCTCCTCCAGTGTTCTCAATGTAATTAAATGGCACGAACTCCATCCTCCCCAAGCTGACCTTGCATCCAATGAATCCTCAAACCCTGTCCAACAACCACATTTAAGCATCTTTCAAACTCATCTCATTTCTCTCCATCTCCACAACACTGACACTTGATCCATTTCATACCTTCAATATTACTCCCCTCTAAAGCAGTCTGCGCATGGCAGCCACAATGATTTTTCCAAAAAGGCAAACACAATCAGATCACTCCCCAATTTAAAATTCTTCAATGGCTTTTCATTGCCTTTTGGAATGAGTACAAATTCCTCAACATGACTTAGAAGGCTGTCATTACCAAGCTGCTCCCTCTGTCACGTCAAATTTTTTTCAGTTATTACAGTGACCAAACTATATAACTTCCAGGCCTTAGAACCTTCTCTCCTTCTCACTCCCACCTTACTACCTTTACAAATACGTCTAGTTCAACCACTTATAAATACTTTTTCAGAGAAGTCATCCCTGACATCTACAGTAAATGAGCTATCTGTAATATACAAGTTCCCGGACCTCTTCTATCAGAGCATTTGTTATACTTTATTGTTACGGTTTATCATCTGTTTTTCCAACTAGACAGAAGTTCAACGATGGCAAGGATTGTATGTCCATCTTGGTAACCACTATTATCTCCAGGGTCTAGCAGAGTACATTGTAGGGGGAGAAAAAATACAATTTTATGTAAGTGATTGAATTTGATACAAACTCACAGATGAGTACAAATCCAAAGGCTTATTTTTATTTCTTAAGGAATGGCTGTATATGTATAATACATTATTAGGCTTGTGCTTCACATCTTACTAGTGCTTAGTGAGTATCTTTTTAAATTTGTTTTTCCAAGAGTCACATGGAATTCTTACCTTCATCTACTCTGCAAACTGAAACTCTCACAGTACTATGAGCAGCCACCATGTCATGCAACATAATATATTGCTGAAATAGGAAAATAAAATTTTGAAATAGCATAAAACTACTCTTCAAGATATTAACAAGTAAGGGTGCTATAAAATAGGTAGGTTAATACAGTAAATGCATATTACTCTGCCTTTAAAAATGTCAAGTCTGAAAGATTCAAAGATTATTCAATGTTTTAGCTCAACACAAAGTAAGAAGCACTTTAATGAGAAAGCCCTGAAAACAGCAGATCAGCCCTCCAGTATTCTAGTCTGTGATAAGGAACTATAGATCCCTATGGTCTCTAAACAGTCAAGTGGTTGTCTGACTCTAAAAAGCATCTGCTTTCTCCCACCTCAAAAAAAAGGAGTTGGGCATGGGGAAGTACATATTCTTTAATGAAAAATAACTGCATTGAACATTACTTTGTAACAAGTACTATTCTACACACCTTATATACTATTGTAAAAAATACAAATACAGTTGTGAAACCGGTAATAAATCGGGACTTACCTTTCTAATGGAATATAGGGAGCTTACAATTGATACTACAGACATAATCACAATGGCTAGAGCATAGTAGTAGTATTCATCAGTGCTCCACAGTATAACACTGAACAGCTGGAAAATGTAAAATGGGTTGAGAACCTAAAAAACAAGATTTTTAAGTCAGATTGAATCAGATGTTCATAACCATACAAATTTTCCACCTTTTTAACAAGTAACCCACAAGGTGCTTACTTAGAGAATAAGCTCTCTAGTACTCTAGGACAACACATATTACCCAAAGAGTAGGGCAAGATGTTAGCATACCACTTTTTTTACCATTAAATCACTAGAATTTGTCTAAATAAGCCTAACTTAAATAATTTGCATCCATCTAGATTCATATGAAACCCAAATATAGATTCAGCCAGAAACAACTAAATGTGTGAATTTAGCCATTCTTCATACTGCTTTAGCAATAAAATACATTAACTTCCAATACTTACTGGACTACTAAAGGATACAAAACTTTTAATTAGATGTAACAAATGGTGACTTATGAACTCCACACACCAATTTATTTATAAGTTAGAGATTCACTGGACTCCAAAGAGAAGACAAATATGAGATAATGTTAACATTGCTTTGCTTTCTCTAAGGAAATAATTAAGGATTAAAACCTGAATTAAAAAAGACACAGCAAAGTCCTGCAACCTGACTTCTGGTTTACTCAAATTTCATAGTATTGCATCAGTGTCATTACTAACCTCCCAATGTCTTAAAATTGATGCATCTGTATTTTTTTTTTGGTATCATTAATCTACAATTACATGAAGGACATTATGTTTACTAGGCTCCCCCCTTCACCAAGTCCCCCCCACATACTGTCCATCAGCGTAGTAAGATGCTGTAAAATCACTACTTGTCTTCTCTGTGTTGCACAGCCCTCCCCGTGACCCCTCCACACTATACATGCTAATCATAATGCCCCCTTTCTTTTTCCCCGCCCTTATCCCTCCCTTCCCACCCATCCTCCCCAGTCCCTTTCCCTTTGGTAACTGTTAGTTCATTCTTGGTTTCTGTGAGTCTGCTGCTGTTTTGTTCCTTCAGTTTTCCTTTGTTCTTACACTCCACAGATGAGTGAAATCATTTGGTACTTGTCTTTCTCCACCTGGCTTATTTCACTGAGCATAATACCCTCTAGCTCCATCCATGTTGTTGCAAATGGTAGGATCTGGTTTTTTCTTAT